CTTACAGTGGGCTTGAAGGAGATGATTAGCAAGCTTTGGATGTCTGGACCAGTATACCTCCCTGGCTTGCTGGCTGCTTAGCTTGGAGATAACCAAGATGCTCTTGTAAGCCACAGTTTTCAAAAGGCAAAGACACAAGATAGGAAGATGCTTGGAGACCAGCTGCCTGCCAAACAGGAACATTCATTATGACTATACGTAAAAGACAAATACATATACTGGTCAAGATCCTGTGATTTGAGGGCTGTCAAGAGAAGTTACCCTACCTAATATGAAGAAGCTAAACTCATTGGAGAATACATATGAAAGGATTTTCTTTTTCTAATATTCTCCCTGACATTTTTCTTTCTTTTTTTTTTAATATTTATTCTTTTAGATTTCGGCGGACACAACATCTTTGTTGGTATGTGGTGCTGAGGATCGAACCCGGGCCGCACGCATGCCAGGTGAGCGCGATACCGCTTGAGCCACATCCCCAGCCCTCCCTGACATTTTTCCACCTTTGAGTAGCAGCTCACTTGGAACTTTTACCCAAAGTCCAGAGTGTGTCTGTCACTCTTAGTTTATTCAAACAGTTTCATTCAGATTTTTGACACTTGATTCTGTTCACTCAGGTCTGTTCAAATCTTTCAGGAATATGAGTGGTRGTGGAGGGTGAGAGGGATTGCTTCTCCAGTCTTTCCCTGGACTAGGAAGGAGGCAGATGGGAAAGGCAAACACCTCTTTGCTGACCTGGGCAAGGGTGCAGCATCTTCCCTGGTTGATGACGTGGGGAGAGGGGTGGGTGGACTAGGTGGCCTACCTGCACGAGGTTCCCACCCAAAGCACTTCTCTAGGCACTGATAGTCTTCACTGTGTTCCAGCCCAAATCCCAACTGACTCCCTGGTGGTATCATCGTCCTCTTTACCCCACACCTGGAGACTTCTTGCAAGTTTGTAGCTCCATCTTATCCTCTCTTCTCCAGGCCAATGGTTCCACTCAAGAACCAAATGCTGAGGGACACCCATGTGCCTGGCCTCCCCTCTGCTTGGGCAATCTGCCAATTTGCTATCGTAGTCCAACTTGATTTTCACAAATCTTGTGTATAACTAACTATATAGGCAAGACACAAAAAGCCAGTCATCCCTTATGTCAGGCTCCTTTAAACTTTATAAGTGATACCCCTGAATGTTCTCATGGTTTCAGGGAGTGGACCCTTACCTCTRCCCAAAGCAATTGTTTCCATCTTTCTGCACTCTTTGTGTATTGACTAAGTGGAGGGTAGAGCCGGTGGCCATCTGGACAAGAGAGGCAGCCTCACTGGAACTAAAGCCATTTGTAACACTGTTCTTCAGTGCCTTGCTCCATGGCAGGCCATGTGGGTTCTTAGATGATTTGAAATCAGGCGCAGACACGCTGAAAAGTTGGAGATGGGAAGGAGGGCTTGCACTGTGCTGGTAGTGGAATTGGCAGATCCCTCCACTAGATGGCACTAACAGTATAGTTTTTCCTCTTTTTTTTTTTTTTTTGGTCTCTTTAAAAACCTATTTAAGGGCTGGGGTTGTAGGTCAGTGGTAGAGTTCTTTCCTAGCATGCATGAGGCACTGGGTTCAATCCTCAGCACCGTATAAAAATAAAGTTATTGTATCCACCTAAAACTAAAAACTAAATATTAAAAAAAACCTATTTAAATTTTTATTATACATATTAATGGGGTTTGTTGGTACATAGTCATACACACACACACACACACACACACACACACACACACACACAACATAATTTGGTCAATTCCATTCCAAAATATTGCCTCATGTTTTAAATGATATCTTGGAAAACCATCACTTTATACAGTTGAAGAGTGCAAACAGAATGATGACTTGAAATGTATGTAGTTGGTTTGATGCACATACTTGGAGTTCTTCCATATTTCCAAGAATTATCAAGATCTTTCTTGTCTTAAAGGGATGGGGCATGCTTGGTGAGGAGTGAGGGRCTTTCATGTGCCCCTGCCTGGCCTCTAGTTTCCAGAACTCTGAGTCTAATGGGGGTGATCAAATCCTTCCTCCCTTTTCCTTTTCTGCCACGGATCCCCCAGCCCTGGACCTGGGCCTGGACTCTGAGCTTTGGCTCTYAGGTTTCTTTCTGTTCCTTTTAGTTCTCCATGTCCAGTGCCCACCACTCAGGCACCCTCAGAATTATCAGAGAGTCCCATGGGTCCCCTAGCTACACGGACTACCCCTTGCCCACGCAGCCCATGGTTAATCTCTGTGCACATTTCCTAAGGAGCTGTACTCAATGCAGGGAGACCCAGGGACATGACCCCCTCAGCAACACTTCCTGCCCCTAYGCCAAGTAATTCTTCTCTTAGCAACTAAGCTGTTTATCTCGCTGTGAGCTGAGAAGAAAATGCCTCCTGATGTCTTCAGGGCAGAGACTGTGCCCTGCCCACCCCAGGCCCCCTCCAGGTTGTCRGGGACACTCTCAGTCAGGGATAACTGAGTTGGATCAGTGAGTGGGCTTCTTGAGATTCCTGAGATTGTGGTTGAAGATGGGGTTACTCCAACAACAACCTCATCATCATCATCATCACCATCATCACCATCATTAATTTTCAGTACCAACAGAGCCCACAGCTGGAGCCATTGCGACTGTGGCAAAAGAAAGCTCACCATCCTAAGGTCAKGCTGACCAGGGAAGGTCCAGTCCCCCTTATCTGCAAGCTAGCTGTTTGATTTKGGGAGGTTCACTTAACATCCCTGGGTTGCCACACCCTCATCACCATGAAGGGAGGGGAGCTTCCCCAGCTGTAGTCAGAACCAGGCGTTAGCCCTGGGTGCAGCCTCATTGGTCCCCATTGGACCAGGCTGACAGGAAGCTCCAGAATCCAGAGCCCCTAAAGGTGGGGAGGAGAGTCACTCTAGGGTCCTGGGAAGCACTGCTATTGTGTTTGCTCTAGCTGGATGGGCAGCACTCCAGACAGGCAAACTTCCCTCCCTGCCCACCCCTGTCCTGCTGTCCCTAAGCAGCCACAGCAAACACCTACATCCACCCTAAGGCCTTCAGGAGTGGCTATGTGTCCAAAGACAGGAGAGTAGAAATAGGCAACTCTGGGCACCTGCRTGAATCTGGTGTTTGTCAAGCTACCATTGTTGTACTCAGAAAAAAGGGGCTCAGGGCATTCCTTCCTGGAACCAGGTCCCCAGACTGCCCAGCTCAGATAGGGAAGATGACAGATCCTGTAGGAGGCCTCAGGGGGTCAGCTGCCTGTGTTGGACTCAAACTCCAGTGTGTAGCTTAAGAAGCCAAATGGCCTGAGTTCAAGGTTGCTAYGGCGTCAATGTCCCCACCAAAAYTCATGTTGAAACTTAATCCCCATTATGGGGGTTTAGAGATGATTGGGTCCCGAAGGCTCTGCTTTCATGAATGGATGGAGCCATCTTTGGTTGACTGGGTTATCAGAGAGTGGTCTGCTATAAACGTCAGTGTGGCTCTGTTCTCTTGTGTGCACCCCTTTCACTATGTGATGCCCTATGTTGCAGAGAGTCCCCAGAGCAAGAAGGACCTCACCATATGTGGCCCTTTGATCTTGAACTTCTCAGTCTCTTAAACTATGAGCTGAATAAACGTTTAGTCTTTGTTCATCACCCAGCCTGTAGAATTCAGTTACAGCAACAGAAAACTAAGTCAAAGCCCCAACTCTACTACGATCCAGTTGCATGTCATTGGGAAAGTGGCTTATTCTTTCTAATCCCCACTGTCTGTTTTTATAAAAGTTATCAAAACACCCCTTACCTTAGAGGGGTGTTTTGAATATTGTGGTAGGCAGGAATAATGGCCCACAAAGATATTCATGTCCTGATCCCTGGAAACTTGTGAATAAGTTACCTTATATGAGCTTGGGTTGCTTACTCCTGCTCCTGATGGGCTGCAGCTTGCTGTCCTGAGCCTAGGCTGATCCATCCCCCCAGTAGACAGACAATAGCCAGATCATTCCATCAGAGTGGCTGGGGGGGCTGCGCTGCTCTGTGACTGTAAACTTGCTGGCTCAGAGAGCCCTAGGGAGGCTACTGCTTACCTGCTACTTCCCAGTCCTCTGCCCAGACTCCTTCACACTCACTCTTCCCATCATGCTAGTGGCCTCTTTCCTCAAGCATCTGCAACTGTTGCTGAAGGCCATCTCTGTTTACAGGTAGTTTGGTCCATGCATGGGGCAGGAGAAGGGTGCAATCTATAGGATGCAGCTCTCAATGGTTGGCTGGTATGTCCCTAGTCTCCCATTCCTTGGGCAAGACACTTCTGAGGCCTGCCTTGCACCATCTCGGGAGTCACTGGACTGGTGGGTTGCCCAAGTGGCAATCTGCTCCTTAACATACCCCAACTGGCTCCCTCCCTTCCCTGTCCCTTTCCCCATGCTTTCTGGGGCTACCTTCAGAATAAACTGCTCAGATCTTTGTCTTAGGCTCTGCTTCTGATGGAGGCCAAACTAAATAAAACCCTGCCCAACTGCAAAACCAGAGAGCCTCATCTGCCAGATACTTTGACTTCATTCAGTAACAACCACATTGTAAAACTTGGAGCTTCAAATAATGGTTTTATAACTCCTAATGGGATAACAGTTCTTTGACCTAAATTATTTACCTTCTTTCCCATACATCCTAGTTCTGTTTTGGGATTCATGATAAGTCTCATTTCAACCTTCTAAATCTAGGCTAGCATTTGACTCTGGATTTCCTTACCCTTGGACCTTCACCCTAGGATGACAAGTTTCTTTCTCTGCATTTATCATGAATTTAAAAATACACATCTTCCTCTCACCCAAAAGCTAATTATCCAGACACCTTAGTGGATGGTCTAATTCCTTCCCAATGTGCACTGTTCTTTAGACCCAAGTCTCTGAGTTGTGCTTGGAGAGAGTGCTGAAACTCCTTCAAAGAGCCACAACATGGGGATCTGCGCTTCCCAAGCAGGGGACACGGGGACACCCCCATCAGGGTCAGCACAGGGTGCTCAATCCTACCTGGGCTGATCTCAAAGAGGTGTTTTCCCAGGTCCTCAGGGCCAGGAAGAAGTTCAGTCACCTGGGTCCCTTGTAGAGAAATAAATCCCTAAAATGGAGACAAACACAAACACAGGAAGCATGAAATGGCTGGAAATTGTCATCTTGATCCCTGGAGAGAGGAGGGTAGAAGTCAAGTCCTTTAGGGTCTGGCAGGGAAATGGGGTGCCAAAGAGAAGCAAGTGCCTCCTCTCCATAACAGGGCATCAGGCAGAGAGGGGGCCCCTGCACAGGGCTCCCAGGTGGAGTAGGGTGGGCACTATTGCCTGCACCCACAGGTGGAGGAGCTCTGCCTACAGGACGGCCTGACAGAAGGCAAGGAGAGGCAAGTGTGAGCTCTCACCATTGCCCCCGCCAGGGGCCCATCTGTAGTCTGTCTAGGCCTGCAGTGGTGTAGGCGTAAGAACACCAGGGAGAGGAAGGCCACCATCTGAGGCTTGGCTCTGAGGTGACAGGGGGCAGCAGCATAGATCTGGGTGTATCCAGTTCCTCCATGTCCTGGCAGGGTGAAATTTCATTTCTTATCTTGGTTTTATTTATTCACTTAAATTAATTTTAATGATTTATTTTTTGATTCTGGGGATAGAAACTAGAGCCTTGTGTAGGCTAGGCAATGCTCTACCACTGAGCCACATCCACAACCCAAGGTCTCATTTCTTTAATTGTAAAATGGGAGTTAGCTATCATGCACAAAGTCCCCAACCTAGATAGTGCCATCTGCCTGGCACACATGAATCTAGTTGTCCCTCTGTATCCAGGACTCCCCATGGATCCCTACAACCACAGATACTCAAGTCCCTTATATAAGATGGTGTAGAATTTGCATATCACATATGCACATCCTCTGGTAGACTTTAAATCATCTTGATTACTTAACATACACAATACAATGTAAATGCTATGTAAATAGTTGTTAGACTCTATTGTTTAGATAATGATGACAAGGGAAAAAAAATGTCTGTGCATGTTTAGTTCAGACACAATTAGATCCTGAATTTCTCAATCTGTGGTTGGTTCAGTTCGTGGAAATGCAATCTGAGATTATGGAGGGCCAACTGTGTATGTTCGAGGAGGCGGGTTCCACCTGGCTTTCTAATGCTGAAATCTGATAGCCAAATTGAAAGATGCCAGGGGTGTAGGGACAGGTTTGAGTACTGCTGTGCTGTACGTCCTTAGGTAAACCACCTCATTTCTCTGATGCTAACTTCCTATGTTCTGCACCATGGGACAGTAACTCTCACTTCTCAGGAATGTTCATATGCCAGATTCATGTCCRGTGAGTCCTACCCAGGAGATGAGGGATTCTCAAGACCACCCCTTCCTTGCCCCACCACCCGTCTAGGCTAGGCAGGGCCTCCTTCACCCTCCTGGTGAGGACTTTCATCTCTGCTGAGGACTTCCTTCATTTCATTCACATTCACTTTTACTCAACTGTGTAGGGCTGGGCTATGCAGTTTTGGGGTCTCTTCATAGGAAATTCATTTCAAACTCAATCCCTGCAGCCAGCTCCTGAGTTCAAATCCTGGCTCAGCTACCTATAAATTTCTTAGCTTCTCTGTGTCTCAGTTTTCTTACTTATGAAACAAACAGGAGTAAAAACAGTTCATGTGGGGATGTTATATGCGTTAAATGAATACTCAGAACACTTTAGAGCAGAGCCTGGCATGTAGTGAGAACCGTGTGTTTGCTAAATATATCTCTGCTCTTATTGTGTTTGGGCTCCATACCAGGTGGGGGAGCAGCATCCCTGTATATGTACATGTCCAGGTGAGGGGCACAGTTGTCTGATTTGAGCCAGTCACCCCCAGGCCCCACCCCATGTGTGCTGACAGAGAGCTCCTTTCCTGGGCAAGTACTAATTCATTTAATATGCACAACAGCCACACAAAGTACTATTACAACTCCTGTCTCACAGTTAAGGAAACTGGGACACAGGCTGGTTAACCAATTTACCTATAGCTAAGCCAGGCCTTTTCTAGGCAAATCTCRGCTGTAACAGGGTGACTGGAGCCCCCACAAGTCTGCTGGCATCTTGCGCTGCAAGCCCAAGTAGAAATGCCTTTTCTTATTTAAGCAACGTAAAGTCAGAAGGATGTCTCTACCCACAGATGCTCGCTTTAGAGAAATTACAGCAATAAACCAGAGAACCAGCTGGTAATGATTGTAACTGAATTAACAGTTCCTTTCTTGCTTAGGAACCTGGAGCTACTGGGAATAAATTAGGACTGCAGCCTGGGGATACGGGAACATGCTCATTAGAGGGCGTGGGTGAGATCCATCACTGCCTAATGGGATGCGTCTTGGGTATTTGCTTTTTCAGTAACTGAGTCTCTGTAATTCTGGGCATGTTTCTTCTTTCCTATGCCTCAATATCTGTCATCTGTAAAATGGGAGAAACAATATTGACATTGACATTGCTACTTGCTACTCCAGCTAAATGTAAAAAGCAGAAATAACTTCTGTTTATGGAGCTGTTTCTGTGTTTCTGGTTCTTGGCCTTAACTATTGAATTTAATCAAGATGCCCCACCCGGAGGGAACTACYATTGCCATCTTCCAGTAGGTGGAGATGGGAGATGCAAAGCAATTGCCCCTGGGCTCCACAGTTGGCCAGAGAGAGCTGGGGCGTGATCTGGTGACAGGGGGGGTGTGGGGGGTGGGGGTAGGGGTGTGTGGGGGTGGGGGGGGTGGGGGGGGGCTGATACTGGAACCCTATTTCCCCCACTGTGCTTCCCTCATTTCCGACAGCAGGCTGAATTTTCTTGCAAGAAGCCACGCTGTGACTCTGAGATCTGCCGTTCACCTTGCTCACAGGTGACTCTAAATGTGTCTCCACCATGGCAAGGGTCTCTTGGGACAGGCCTTCAGCTGCACTGATCCCCCACCTTCCACACATCGAGAGCCAGGCTTTGATTCCAGGGGTTTAGGCACTGAGGTGGGGCCAGAGGGCAGGGTAGCAGAGGGAGTGATAAGTGATAAGTCTAAGTGATTTGACGTGTGAAGACTGGGATAACAGGACAATAAGGAGTCAATATAAAGCATCCAACTGAAATACTCAGCCTTGCTTGAGCTTACTTCCCAAATCACCCTAGGGCTTGTTCAATCTGAAAGAACTAGCTGGTGTTGCAGTGGTGTTTAGCAACAAAGAAAAAAGCACCATGATTTGTAGTGTTTGCCAACCTCTGGGATATTCACATCCCTCCCCCTCCATGTGTTTTCATGATGTCTTTGAAGGTGGAGCTGGGAAAAGATGTGCTACAGTGTTTGCATTAGAGGTGAGTAAGCTGAGAGCACTGGACACAGTAAACGTAGTCAAACAATTAGGAAGCAAAGTATTCTAGGTACTTCTACCTTTATTTTTAGTATAATTTATCTAATTGTAGGTTTGTGCATGATTTAATTGCTAATTGTGGAAGTGTTTGACCAGTTAGCGCCTGACCCCACCCTGGGGTTTCTGACTCTCTAGGTCTGGAGAAAATAGGAGAATTTGCATTTTTAACCAGTTTTCTGGTTCTGCTACCTCCAGGGAATACACTTTGAAGAACCACTGTTCTAGGGGCCCTGAGAGAAGGCAGTGAAAGGTTGGTGCCTCTTTTATGAACTTATTCCACACCTCAGTTTCCCTCACCTGTAAGATTGGGATAATAATAGTATCCCCCTCCTTAGGTAGTTGGGAGGATGAAATGATTTGTTATCTGCCACAGTGTCCTGGAGAGCAAGGTCTTGGCTAAAGTTTTGTGCCTTGACACAGGGGTCACAAGTGTCAGTAACTGCTACCATCCTCTCACACAATGCCCTTCCCCACAGGGATCTTGGCATTTCTTTGAGAAGTCCAAAGTGAGTGTTAGCAATATGTAAGGGCCAGCTGGCCTTCTTACTACAGTGCCAGGTCAGGACTTAAATATCTGCACTCTGAGAAGGGACCAAGCATATGGTTTGTGCTAGATCTGCACAATTTGCTGATGGGACCCTGGACACAGAATGCAAGTGTGTAAACGCCAAGCACCTGATAGGTTCCCATGGAGTCTGGGCCCTTCCCCCTCCCCTTTTGTCTGAGCTGATGCACATTTGCTCTGTTTGGGAATTTGCTCAGCCTGCATATCTAAATTCATCCCTAGAGACTGTAGCTGACTTAATTCATCTTTAGTCCTATACTGATGCAGTCCATTGGTATAAATGACTAATGGACAAAGAACATGCCATTCTGTCTGTATCCAGCAGAGCTCTACTCCCAGGCCGGCTGCTGTCTCCACCATAGATCCCTCCGTGACTTTCGTGAATGTACCCATCTGAACTCCCCAAGGGGACTTGTGGGCTTCAGATAGAGCCCCTGACCACAAACTTCACTGGAAGTTTCTTCCAGAAACTTCTCTCAAAGAACTGACCTCTGGCAAATGGATAGCACATGCCCAGCAGAGGGCTTTTGAGAGAGAGTATATTTCACATATAGCAGCAAATTAGAAGCTTCACTCAAGATTCATATTAAATGCAAACTCCAGAAATACTGCAGACCAGAGGAAAGCAGCCTAGAGATTGGCTTCATTCTATCTCCTTTGTCTAAACCTCATAATGGGGAACCCAAGGAGTGGCCCAACCCTTAGGGGCTGATGAAGATGTTCAGAATTGGGGAAGTCTACCTGTCAGGTTCTATACGTGTTGTCTGTTGCTACATAACGCATTACTGCAGAATGTAGGGCGGTTAACATTTATTCTTTAATAGGATTTCTGTAGTTCAGGAAGGTTAAAATTGATAGGTCAGCAAATGAGATAAAATGAAATACAAAATGTTCAATTCCAAAGAAGGAAAAGCTGGACAYAGTGTGCATGCTTGTAATCCCAGCAACTCTGGAGGATGAGGCAGGAGGATTGCAGGTTTGAGAACAGCCTCACCACTTAGTGAGACCCTGCCTCAAAATTAAAAAAAAATAATAAAAAGGGCTGGGGAAGTAGCTCAGTGGTAAAGTGCCCCCTGGGTTAAATCCCCAGTAACCCCCACCCCAGAATAAATAGAAAATAAATTCTTTTCAAATGCACTTGGAATTTTTACTAA